ATACTCATCTTCCACGCCCTCCCCCCAAATCAATCTCTTAGCACATAGCCAGGTTATCTATTTAAGGTACTCCATTAGTACCTGGGAGATCCAGGTTACATCCATCCATCCATCTATCTATCCATCCATCTATCCATCTAATGCAAAGTGTAATACTTTTGACAGGAGAAATCATAGTATTATAGTAGTTAGGGTCAGAAAGGACTGAAACAGACCATTGGATCTGACCCCCCGCCCCGGGCAGGAACAGGTGCTGGGATCATATCCTTTGACCCCAGCTGACTTCCTGCCCCTGGGGCAGGGGCTGGACTCAATGATCTTCCAAGGTCCCTTCCAGCCCTAATGTCTATGAAATCTATGAAACTGAGAAGTTCATCTCAGAATAACACCCGCCTAGTAGCTATTTATGGCATTGACCCGGCATCTGAACCCAGAACCCACACTAATCTTCTCTTTCTTGCTTTGACCTGAACTTTTATTCTGCTTCTCAAAAACCACTGTACAAAATCACTAACACAACCAATAAATTCCCCCCACAAGAAGTTGTTTTATCAAATTGAAATGTTCTGACCCCAAAAGCTTAAAAGAAACAAAAAAAATTCTCAATTTGCTATATCAGGTAACACATCAAGACCAGCACCAGAGCCAACCGTGGCCACTTAACAGATTGCCACCACTTTAAAGGTGGCATCCCACATCCTCCTTGCAAGAAGATTGTTGCTCAGTGACCCAAAAGTCCTTCCTTGCATCAGCACGTGCAATACGCTGCTACAGAGAGCCAGACTCCCCAGCGAGGTGTAAATCAGCAGAGTCCCGCCAACTCCAAGGAACTGCACAGATTTACCTAAGCTGAAAGCCTGGCCCCGAGTCTTCATCTATCCTACTGCAAGCTTTAGAGGACTGGGAAAACGGAGCTACCCCATGTTGGCAGCTGAGAATTTATAGTGCCGGAGAGACACTGAAAACTCCTTGCTCAGGCCCCAGGATCAAAGTAATGGGACCTCACATTGCACCAACCTGTCATTTCTAACCAAATAAGAAGAATTAGAGATGGAGGAGCACTAACAGAGCGCTCAGGTTCGCCATCTGGCCAGGCCAGGATTGCTCCCTCCAGTCCATTCTCCAGCGATTAGCCCTGGCAACATGATATACCGAATCAATTCCTTTTACTGGTGTTATTTATTTTATTTATTTATAAGGCATTTACTGCAAGGCAGCTAAGTGCCAGACCATAAAAAAAAAGAAGGTAAAACTTCTAAAAACTTAAGAGCGCTCCCAGGCTCAGCAGCTATAAGGCAAAACTTCCTCCCTACAGAGAATTGCTCTCAAAGTGGCAAAGTGAGAGGGGAGAAGAGAATGGCAGATGGGCTTAAATGGTTGCCAAAAGCCACATAAGTTTAACTGTCATGCTGCCTATAAATCAGACACATATCAGTATAATAGCTCAACCAGTGATTCTCAACCCGGGTGCCAGGGCACCCTGGGGTGCCTTGAGAGCCTTTCAAGGATGCCACAGGACACCACTCAATGTTAGCACGAGTAAGTGTGCAAACATGAGTTGCAAGATAAACCCAGGTATTTACAGCAGGGATCCGCAGTGTTAAAAGCACTCTGCCCTGCTGCCCTCTTCCTGAGGTCTTTGCAATGGAAGAATTGCTCTATTATTTTTCTGGAGTCAAAACGCAAGCTGGCATTTTCTCAGGGGTGCCCGAAGTCCAAAAAGGCTGAGACCCACCGATGTAAGCACCGAGGCAGCAGGAGCAGGAGGCTGGGCGGCAGCATCGCTGCTCCTGGTTGCAGCTGTGACTCGAGGCAATCTGGCTGTGTAAGAGTCCACAACTCTCTGCAGAAGGTGTTCAGATATTTGGGGAAGTCTGCTGAGACACAAAAGCGTTGCATCAAAAATGTACGAATATCTCTGTGCTGGGAAGGCCTCAAACATGGGATCAGGGACACTAGATCACTTCACCTTAATGATGCCCCTGTCCCAATGGTATGGAGGAAGCACATGCTGCACTCCCTTACCTTTATGAAAGGGCCTGAAGATGCAGTGTTCACACAGGACAAAGGGACAGAGCTGACAGAAGGGGAGCTTAAAAGTGATTCGCATACGTTAAGAAAAAGAGAAATTCTCGTGAAGAAGCGCAGGGGATAAGTAGCAAGTAGGAGGTCTGGCTTAGCTGTGAGATCAGCCACAGTCAGAGACGGTGAGCTGAGCTGCAAAGGCTTTCTTCATTCAGAGAAAAAGTCATGGATTGCAGACAAATCTCAGCCTGTCCCCGTCCGAACTCCAGCCGACAAATTGGTGCGGAAATTGAGGTAAGAATATGTGTGCAGGGTTTCCGAGTTTTGTCTACATCTGCGTTTTGACAAGCTACTCAGTAAAGAGTAATTAGTTCAAAATCCTGCGCTTTGTGATGAAGGATAAAAAAAAATAAAACACCCTACAAGGTATTATAACTATTACAGCTTGAGTGCTATCAGTTTATTCAAAAAAATCTCCTACTAGCCTTTTGCAGCAATGCATTGAGAGGTATTTCCAGAAGACAAAGGGAAGTATTAATGCTTCCCTGGGGGACCCCATGTGTAACACTGCATGCAGTACAGATCACCAGGGATCTGGGTTTTTTATTTGTTGCACAAAAATGCAGATTCTTTTTTTTTTTCCTTTAAGTCATGGATGTTCTCCCTTAAAAGAGAAAAAAAAAAAAAAAAAAAAATGGGAAGCCATGGGTTTCCCCTTGCAGGCTGGTATAGAGGCTGGGGTGCAAGGGGCTGCTAGAGGCTGGGGTGAGCAGGAGGAGGGCGAGCACAAGCAAGGGGCACCACATGCACGTGTGCGTGCACACATACACGTGGCAGCCAGGCAGCGTGGTGGAGAGCAGCTCCCTGCAGGTAAGTCTGAGCCCTGTGCTATGCAGATATTTTTCTCCCTACACCGGTACTTATAGACCATGATTATGTCCTCTTCAATGTCCCAGAAAGTGAAACAAATGGAGATCTTCTATGCCTCCCCTTTAAAGTACGTTGTCTGAGGTGCCAGATCATCTTCTAGTTGCTCAACTCTGAACCCTGCCTAGTTTCTTTTTTAAATGTGGGCAATACTGTTGCTCACTTCCAAGTGATCTCAAGTGAGGACACCTCTGACATTACAGAGCAGTACAAGAGAGGAAGAAAGGAGCAGAAGAAAAAGATTGAAGGTTCAAGTGGGATTCAGACAGGCTGCGCGTAATTACACAGAAACTGAATGTAGCCCACGCCATCCGAGAAAGATGTCCTAGGGCCTCATTACACGGTCATTTTACGCTCTTAACCCCTGGACTGGCTGCACGTTAACACCTTAAGTGGTTCAAAACACTTGATATTCGTCTTATGTTACGCTTCTCCAGGGCAGGATTATCTCCAATACACCTAATTTTGCTCCTGTTTCATTAAGGCGTGACCACTCTGCACAGCTAGTCCACTCAAGTTGAAGTCCTCCAGCTTCCCAGGATGCAATGGCTCCTCCTGAGTCAGGACAAGTGGGGATGCTGGGGTGCAGCAGGGCCAGGCACCCCACCAGGCATGTCTGAGTACAACAGCCCTGGGGCACCCGGTGACCACAGTGCCTCCCACCACCACTCAGACTGGCTCTGCTCCTCCCAAGTTCAAAGACTTCAGGACATGCTGCACAGCACACATGTGTGTGGTCCTGAGTCACAGCAGAAGGTCATGCCACCACAGGCTCACTGCTATCGAGTCAGATTAATGCAAGCATCATCCCTAAGTGGCTTGATGCCCCTCCGATAGCAGTGAACGTGCTCACAAATGGGTCATGATATCAGAAATGCCTCTTAGGGGTGTCTCCACTACTGCAGCACCTGGTGAATACATGCCTTGCACATAAGCATCTCAGCCATGCACCCCTGCATGGAAAGGTCAGGAGCAAATCTTCTCCTTCTGTTGCCACCCAACTGGTGAATGGTTTTGCCTCCGCCTCATTGAACATTTTCCATTTCTGCTCTACGTCAGAGGCTCCCAAGCTTGGTGACACTGAGAGTTGCTTAACCAACTTCGCCAGAAGCCCATGAGCAACAAGCAACTTGCACAATCGGCATAAACTAAATACCTCGCTGGTTTTGATGACCAAAGGGCTTGTTTAATTCATTAGCTGAATCAACCCTATATATAGTTGCAGAACTCAAGACTCAGAGAATATAAGTGGGGAGAAAATAAGGTGTGGAATAAAAAGCCAGGATTCAAGTCTAGTCCTTGTCTGAGGAACGGGACTCCATCCCTATGTAGGTCCTTGGGTATCACCGATCATTCCCCAATGGGAGTGGGGAGGGGGAAACCCACGACCCTCCACTCTCTCTAGCCATTAGAAACAAGTTCCTCTTCTCAATTGCTGTCTTACAACAGCTTAGTGCCGTGACAAATCTCATCCATCACTGACTTCAACCAGCACTGAGGATCCTGAGCCTCATTCAAGAGACACTCAGCCCCTTTCACTGTGGGATCAACAGTTTCCTAAACAGGCTTATAGGGGATGACCAGGAATGGCATCCCCATTCAACACGCTGCAAAGGGGAAGAATGAAAAAGGAGAATGATCTTTTTATTTTTTTTTTTAAAGGAAACAGCATCTGTTTTGCATGCTAATATGACAGGCTCTGAACTCTGCAGCACTGCAACACTTCAGAGAACTAGTCTGGCTTGTTCCACCTTTCTGCCTCCTAATTCCTTATTGTGTACCAGATGACACAATTAAAAATAGAAAAGGATGTGGTCTCAGCAAGGTTCAGAATGGATCTGGGCTTTTTAATGCAACATATGGTGGAATATTTTTACATCTTATAAAGAAATGTGCATTGTACATGTGCTGGAGCTCGTGAGGCACGGCAGTAAAAATGCATTAATATCTGCTCCCTGACAACGGGGCTCGCTGAACACTGCGTACACGCATACAAGTCATCAGCGGGATGGCATACAATCGACTGGGAAGCCTTTCATTATACGCACCATTGGAGTTAATTCGGAAGACGTTGGCTGAAGTTTCCTGAAACAATTCCTGCAGTTCGTTGGGATCAATCTGGGTGGCTGCAAAGAGAGAACAAGAAAACACATTGAGCACAGTATGGCCAGGCCTTTCTGAGCATCAGGCTACTCTCCCAGCTGCCCCTGACTACGAACAGCACCAGAAAAGACATTTATCAGAGCTTTGTTCTCTATTTTGCCTTTTGCTGTCTGGGCGCACGCAAGCCCTCGCACACCAACCGCACAGCTGCTCCTGAAAACTGGCAGGTTGAACGTGAAACACTGGGAACCATTATGTAGCACAGCCCAGGAAGGGGGCCCTAATCCTGCCATGTAGTTTTGAATAATTGCAGGCCTAATAAGATGACTGCCACCCTGCCCTTGCATTGCAGCTGCTCTCAGGAGGCGACATCAGGATTAGGGTCCCACTGCGCTAGATGCTCTACAAAAGCCACCGCCTCGATCCATTTACCATCTGATTCAGGACAAAGCACAGCCACGTAGGTCCACTAAAAGGGATACACTAGGGTGAGGTTAGGCTGAAAATCAGGCTAGTGCTGTTCAAAGCAAGTTATGAACATGAGCTAGCTCATCCAGCAACAGGTGATAGGCAACATGGGTGATGGGCTGATCAATCCCCATGGACTTCACCCAAAAAAGTAACCTGAGCTGCTCAGGGGCATGGGCACATCAAAGTCCCAGGAGGGATCAGACCTCAGTAATACCCATCCCTCAGCTCCCCTGTTCTACCCGCTGCCTCTGAAAAATGCAGATTTTGCAAAATGCAAAAATTTAGCTTTGGAAAAAGGCAGTGTATGCAAAACACTGAACAGAGCAGCCCAAACAGGAATCAGTGAGTGCCTGCAAACTTGTGCGGTGGCAAAGTGAAACTCCCCCCTCCAAGGCTTCACACATGTTCCTTTGAAACCTGTAATAAATGCATGTCTGCTCCTTTTCACCTGACACTTCACGCGGGAAGCAAACATGCAGGGGATGGAGCTCTGCACACTGCTAGAACAAGGCAGAGACCGGGATCCCCCACACCTGGCACACAGGTGGGAAAACACTGTTCCTGTATATATCTAGACGCAACGCGGTCCTATAAAGCTTTGCCTGTAGGAATGACTGGGTTTAATAATCTATTTCCTTTTCAGGCCCCCAAATATCACATTAGGGATCACAGTTTTTCTATTCTGGGCAAAGGTATCACGGTATTATACAGCACAGACACAGCATTGCAGGGCAAGTTGCTTGAGACATACATGGGTTGAACTAAGACAATAGAGATCATAAAGATTCACAGGTCTCAACCAAGAGCATAAAGTAGAATCACAGAAAATGAGGGTGTGAAGGGAGCTCAGGAGGTCACATCTAGTCCAACCCCCTGCTCCAAGCAGGACCAGCCCCAACTGCATCATCCCAGCCAAGGCTTTGTCTACCCGGGTCTTCAAAACCTCCAAGGATGGAAAGTCCACAACCTCTCTGGATAGCCTGTTCCAGTTTTTTCCTACCCTCCTAGTGAGAAAGTTTTTCCTAATATCCAACCTCAACCTCCCTTGCTGCAGCTTGTGCCCATTGCTGCTTGTCCTGCCATCTGCCCCCACTGAGACCAGCCCAGCTCCATCCTCTTTGCAACCACCCTGCAGGGAGGTGAAGGCTGCTATTCAATCCCCCTCCATCTTCTCTTCTGCAGACTCAATCAGCCCGGTTCACTCAGTCTTTCCTCACCAGTCATGTCCCCCAGCCCCACAACCATTTCCACTGCCCTCCATTGGACTCCCTCCAATTTGTCTAATCCTTTTTGCAGTGGGGGTCCAAAGGTAGCCTCCCCAATCTCCATGGCCAGCAACCACTCAGGAGAAAGCATGCACCCCACATGTCCGTGACCAGGGAAGTTTCTGCAGCAGGAGCAAAAAATACATGGGCCCAGCACCATCCTGGAAAGTCACTTTTCAGAGCAGGACTGTATGTAGTTTCTTGATGCAAGAAAGCATGCTCTCTCTCATACAGAAGAAGGGTGAAAAGGACCTCGATTTTCTCATTTCAGGGACCTCAGGAAAGCTTTGGGAGTCCCCAGACAAGCATTTGGCCCTTTGCTGATCGGCTCTCCAGCCTCGCATCACCCAAATGGACTCTCTTTCTTCCTTTCAGCCCCAAGTCCTGGTCCCTGCCTCCAAATGCAACAAGCAAGGAGAAAACTAAAAGCCTTAAAAAATGCCGTTGTTCCCCAATACAGTCTTCCTTGCTTCTGGGTCTGCTTCTTGCCCTTCTCTTCATGGCGCCTGGCAGCCCAAACTGGGGGAAGTGGGACCCCTTTGCATAAGCCAGAGGTTTTCAATTCCTATCTTTAATATTGCAGGCCTGCTGATAACCTGCCTCTATACAAGGAAAGGAGAGGAAGGAAATAAATGTGACCTGACGTGCTCAAGACCTGCTGTAGGAAAATGATGCTTTATTTAAATCATACTTCAAGTGGGGGTTGCATCCTCAGTTCAAGGGTTCGGTGATAATTAAGCTATTGCGGAGAAGTCAATCGTCACCGGGACATTTAAACAGCTATCTATGTGGAGACACGGCTACAGCTTCCAGGCAAGGCTGTCCTGGACCTACTGCTCTTTACTCTTCCGTTGCCCCCTGGCAGCAATTTGTGACTCTAAGAAGTGGCATTTTCCTATTTTTTCCCCGTGTCGTAAGGATTTTGTACAACCACAGTGCTTTTGACCTTGCCTGAGGCGCACACTACAAGAAAAAGGAGAAGGGGAAAAGCCTGCCTGTGATAAAGTAAGAGAAATTATGTGAGAGATGTTAATAGAAACCTTCATTTATATTGTGGCTGCAAATAATTCCTCTTTTTAAATCAGATTTCCACAAGCCATGATGTGCCACACCCCTAAATTGCAGACTGAAGAGTTACGAGTCACCGATGCACGAAAGGGAAAAGAAAATCTATTACAGAAACGAGTCCTTAATGCCCAGTCAACATGGTATGGTCCCCAGAGCACGTTCTCAAGCCCTTTACAGTTCAAATGTGCTAATCAATAGATGTTCTCTGCTGCTTCCCTCCGGAGATTATCCTTCTGCCAAATGGATCTCGCCATCAGGAAAACTTCCCTGCGGTTTCTCGGCTTCACCCCATTTTTAACCGGGTGTAAAGCCTTCGATTGACCATGTGAGGCTGCCGTAAGGACTCCAGCGAGCCTCTGACCAAACTCAAGACTTGGCCCGCTTTCTTCAACTTTCTTCCCACAAGTTTTGGTCATGCAGAGAAAGATCCAACCGCAAATAACCAGGGGCGGATGTTCGGTGGAACGGGATCACACTTGGAGCTCTTCGCTGCCTGGGTGGCCTTGCAATGGAGGTCCCTGTTTAGGAAGGTGCTAGGTAGGACTATTCAAGTGCTCCTGTTTTAACATCTTTCTAAACCGGGGCCAACGTGAGCCGAGATGCAGCCAAAACCAACTAGACGCGACTCCAGACCAACCCTCACTTGTAAAGTTTTTTGGTTTGGTTTTGTTTTCCAGTGACATGTATTTAATAGTCTACTAAATCCCCAAATAACATGGGCAAGGACATCTGTGTCAAGGGACCAACTCCACTGGACAAAAGTCAACCAGCAGCATCTACACACTGACCTATTTAGACATCCAATAACCCGGAAAGCAAGAGGAGAGTATCGTGGACCTTCTGACACGAGGAACAAAAGTTGATAAGCGAATAATAAATGCCCAAAACACTGGAGATCATGCATGGCCACACGTAGGAAGCAACCAGGCATGGCTTCACGTGATCACTCAGTGCAACGTTCTCAAAGCTGCAAGCTGAGGAAGCCCGTCAAGATAACCCGAGTTGTTAAGATGCTAACACAGCATTTGGGACACCTGTCAAGGGCTTTCATTACCCCCCTGCAGCAAAATGGCTTTGATTTCTTTTTTTTTACTGCTTATTTTTTTGGAGGATGTTCATTTGGCTCTAAAGCCACTGCTGCCGTTGAGAGTTCGCACTGGCAGAGAAGCAAAGTTTTTGGCCGGTAACTATTTCGGAGGCCGCAGCAGCGAGAAAAGCGGAGCGACGCACTGTTAAAAGGAACGCCTGCATGGGGCCAAGTGAAGATACTTACTGAGACTGTAAAAAGATGAGGGACCAAGGGGTGGAGAGCATGAGAGACAGCTGTGGCCTAATAAAAAATTGAAAGCCTCAGACTTCATAAAACGTAGTGTTAAAATATTACGACCCTCCCTGATAAAAGCTGGAGCTGCCAATAGGCAGGAAATAGTTTGCATGCCCCGCTGCTGATGGAGCGCAGGGCCACAAGTGAGGAAAGGTGCATTTTAATTACGGCAGACCCCGGCAGCGGCGGGGAGTTTTCAGTGGAAGTGTTGCAGAAGCACATGTGCAAATCAATTCTCCTCCATTTCCTTAATGGGGCACTGCCAAGAACACGCCAATGGCTGCTGCTGCTTTCCCCCCCACCCCCTTCCCTTCTTTTCCATTCACTTGTGTGTTGCATATCCTTAAAAGGTAGCAAGGAAACACAGCTTCCTTTGCCACCGATCCTCGCTTCTCGCCTTTGGAAAACAGTGATTTATTTTTCTCAAATTTCTAAAGCGGCAGCAGTGACTTTAGGGATGTTTGTTTCTCAGTTCTCAAACAAGCCTCTGGTTGTTTGCCTACAAAACGGCACAAGCAATCGCATCAATGTGCCTGAACCAGAAGTGTCGGCACTCCACTCCCCGGTCTGCGTGAGCAAAGAGCATTTATAATGCACTTTTGAGGAGACGCGAGAGGAATCCTCAATTGAAGTCGTGGTCTGCGCAGCCCTGGACCCCTAATCGGTCACTCTGCTGCACGGGGGAATGCGAGTATTGGGGTTTTCTGATCTATCGCATCACACACAGTGGGTCATTTTATTTGATTTTATTTTTATTGTGTTTTAATATTACATTAGTGCCTACAGGACCCATCTGAGATCAGTTACCCTGCAGTGCTAGCTGCTCTACAATGAGGCACGGTCTCTGCCGCAGCGAGCTCATGATCTAAAAAGAGAAGAGAGAGTGGGAAGAGAA